TTTGCAACTGGTGAGTGTAAATATAAACCGCTTATCGGACATTAGTTTTCTGTTACTCTTGACATATAACATGAACCATTTGTTAAGGTTGAATCATACATGGAATTTGAACCTAATTTTGATGGAAAAGATTTGTTAAAAAGGAGAGAAATGAAAAACAGAGGTTGAATTTTTGGAGGTGAAGATTGGAGAACCGCTGAATATGGAGATGTATGATTAAATCTTTCCTCCCATGTCTCCATCAATTCTTTTCAAGTCTCCTCAACCTTTGTTATTGGAATGGAACCCCTTTTGACCAAGCAATTGACAATTATTGGCTCCACCATCTTTTTTTTTTATTGGTTTTAAATTAATTTTTGATGAGACAAATATAATATATATGTGATTCTAATTTTGAAAATACATTTCTTTTAATTTAGTAACTATTTTGTTTTATGAAATTGGAAGCTTCCGTAGTGGGAGGAGCACTCATAATTTTTTTTAGTACAACAGACCGCTAAGCTAGTAAAATCTAATTAATCTGGGTTTTGTGGTCCAATTGAATTAATTATTTTTTTACTACAACACTACGAAGAATGGGGATTGAACCTCTAATTTTTAGAAAATAAACAAAATATCTTAACCACTGAACTATACTCACGTTGACGATCTTTTTAATTAGGTGTCAATTATCACTCGCTAAGCTCTGGTTGGCTTGCTATATACATAGCCTAAAATTAAAAAGAGTCAAAAGGTTAGTTAATGAAATGTTAGGAGAGAAACCTCATCGTTTAATAGTGAATGAAATAGATAAATTAATAATAATAAAGAAATAAATCTATAAAAACAGAAATTATCACATTTACAAATCTGATATTAATTTTGTTTTGAACGTTTGGAATATTTTAGCCAAAGTAAACGTAGCTCAGCGATAATTGACATGTATCTCCAATAAATAGATTATGAATTCGATTTCCCATGTGTTGTATTTAAAAAAATGTTTGGATTATTTTTCAACATCCTCGTTACTTTAAAAAATTATTTTATTAATAATACCCTTACTGCTATAAAATAGCCATAAGAATGGAGATGTGTTAATTTAATTTGAGAGACTAAATGTTTAAGGAAAAAAAAATCAGAATGAATTAATTATATATATAATTGTTTCAATATGTTACTTGTATTTTAACTTTGGTCATTTTGATTTTTATAATTTTAAATGTTGCTTTTACATTTCTACTTTCAATTTTGTTTATTTAAGTCCTAATACATTTCTACTTTCAATTTTGTTTATTTAAGTCCTAATACTCTAATGACATTTATTTTTGTCACTATACTTCTAAAAAGTGACAACACTGATCCTTATTTATGAGTTTTTAATACAAATTGTATATACGATGAAAACAATTTAGTACAAAGTTACTATTATATTTTAAAAAATTTATTCAAATTAGTGTCATGTTGAAATTATGATTGAAAAAACGAAGAGACAAAAATAACAACCTTTTAAAAAGTACACAAACCAAAATATATGTTTCGAAATCACCTAAACTAAATTGAACAAAAGCTAAACTTATAGAAACTAAGATGGAAAGTAGAACCCGTAAACCAAAATAGTATTTAAACCTAAATGGTTTACTTAATTGGGCCCTTCTAAGCTGAGGCCCGCATTGCCAAAACGAACCCTGGGGCCCAATGTTTGTGGGTATTCCACCCAGCCCATGGTCTATCCTACAAGCCCAACCAAGTCTCGTACTGAAGTATAGAGAAGGCTGCCCGTTTCTTTTTATTTTTCAATTTTTTTAAGAAACAGAGGCTATGTCTTTATTATACATAAAATTCTAGTTAATTTGATAGATATTGAGAGTGAGTGATAAGAGACGAGACGGACGAGACGGATAGTTCGTGTGTATTTTCATTCATGAAAGTGGTATTTTTTGGGCTCACCAATTTAGGTCGGATCTCGTTTTTTATCAAATATATTCGTTTGAACTTATTGAGTTTGGATACCATTAAAAACAAATTGACTCCTCATCCGAGCGGCGATCACAAATGGAAAATGAACAACAACGTTAAATTTAGAAGACAATTGCTATTACGCTTCAAATTGAAAGAAATAATGAATTTCAATCATTTACCAGATTAGGGTTTCGATCGAGTCCAGCATTAACACAGACATAATTTAACCTTTGAATCCTCTTGAAACTGCGAGAAGATGATGATGACGATGAATTAAAAACAGTGGTTCATCGAGGGAATAGGGTTAGTCGTGGATCGAGGGATTAGGGTTAGGGTTTTTCGTTTTGCATTTCGATGTTACATTCGTGGAGTAATTTAGTTTGAAGTTTAACCGAAGAAGAAGACTGGATCATAATAATATTTGCTAGAATACCATATGAAGCTCAAAAGTCGCGAAAACCATTCTCTGTAGTACGAATCTCAACTTGAAGATGAGTTTCTGAATTTTGTCTCCCGCGACGGGAGCCTATTTATAGCCATTCCCGAGCCC